CACTGGCTTTCATTTTGGCCCAAAACGTCATTTTAGAGCGATTTTGGCGTTAATTTAGAGTTAGGGATAATACCAATATCAAGCAATCTGATTGGCTAATTAGATAGATCAAAATTATCGAAAACTGTACAGTATTCCCCCCTTGATATCCAATTTTCAAGTAGAATCCTACGGTAGATTTGTACTAGGAATGAATATTCGATTGATTTTTGTTTCATTTTGCTCTTTTAACAGTGCGTACTATTCCTTCTTAATGAAGCTATCCTCCTCTTCTTGTGTCTGTTGACGTCACCATTGATGGCACCAAATGCCCCTGTTWCTACAGAAGCGTCCATGATAGAATGATGGGAGTCGTTAGCGTGGAAGATGGTGGCAGTCGTTRGCGTGGAAGAAGATGGTGCAGCAACAGACAATACTACTAACAAAATGGTTTCATCCTTCCACGATACTAGGTGACAGCTGCGGCGCTTCTAGAACTGTAATCGTATCGTAGCACTACTAGCAACAAGAATCCCTCACAATTCTACTAGATTGAATTTCGAAACAGCTGCTTTTGCTAATCTAACCATRGGAAACGAAGTATCTTCAGAGACTATTGCTGCTGCTGGTGCTGCTTCTGCTGCTGCAGCAGCAGCTGGACRAACAAGAAAACAACGAACGGAGGAACAAGAAAAAGGTCTCAGTAACACGACTCCCCTTGAGTCCCCTCCTCAAGAGGATGGCGACAATAACACTGATGAGAGAASTKGCGCTATAGACCTCCTAGGCCTRAAGGAAAGACCAGCAAGAAATTTCAACAACAAGGACGACGATGACGAAAATGGTACTACTACTAGTAAGAACTTTCAAGATGCTGCTGCTGCTGCTGCTCCTCCTCCTCCTCCTCCAAGAACAACCACAACTGCTCCTGCGACTGCAACTGTTCCTGTGACTGCTCCTGCAACTACTCCTGCGACTGCGACTGCCGTTCCTGTGACTGTGACTGTTCCTGTGACTGTGGTTCCTGCGACTGCTCCCCCTACTCCTGATGAATCTACGGCTCCTAAAAGAAAGCATGGTTATCATCTGAGGAACAAGAAGAATGCTGATATAAATGGGAGCAACTTTCAAGGTACTGCTTCTATTGCTGCTGTGACTACTGCAGCTGCTGCTGCGGAAGAAGACATACAAGAAGGAGCCGACAAAACTGAAGAAGGGAAAGCTTTGGAAGAGTGGAATAAATTGTTTCAAACTGAGGACTACGACAACGACGACGACGACGACGACGATGATGATGATGATAGGACTGTGTCAGAGAACAGCAAGGATGATGGGAAGGAACAGAGGAGGACAGCAGCAGTGCAGGTGGAGACAGTGGACGAGGACGAGGACGAGGATGAGGATGAGGACGAGGACGAGGATGAGGATGAGGACAACAAGGAAGAGCAACAGGAGGAGGAGATGCCCTCAACCCAGAGGAAATCCAATCGGATTAAGGCAAAGCAAGAAGCTGCAGCAAAACGCAACCAAAGAGCTACTTTGTTGAGGCAAAGATCAAAGGACGCTCCTACAAAAAGAGATCTGATTAAACAAGCAACAAAGGCTGGAAGGCAATTACGAAAAGAACTCAAGGACGAAGGGAAGCTTGATAAGCTTAATAATACTATTCCTTTCCTTGGGAGAAATCTACCGGTACACACAGGAAGGAAGTCTCATCGTAACAAGCCTGATAGTACTCCTCATCGCAATCGCTTCCTTGAGAGAAAGGGAAGGACGAAGAGGGCCRAGTATACCTTGCCCACCACAGATGCAAGAGATGGAAAGAAGAGGAATGAAAAAGGAAAGAATAAAGCACAGGAGGAAACACAGGGAAAGACTCCAACCAGCGGCCACAACAACAAGAGCAAAAGAAGAAAAGTNCTACGTAAAGGTACCGTAGGACCTTACTGCATGAGTACATACCATGCTACAGTACGACCGGTATTTCTAATGCAAGATTCGGTTTCCGACTGAACAAATTAGATTATCAGTCCAATTTCTCTTTCCTTCACTCCAGAGGCCTTTGTTTGCAAGTGGGATAGGTCGTGATGCACTATTGATTTGTCTTCCATGGTGTTCTTTTATATCAGCAAGTACATCACGAAATGGATTGCTTCACCGCTTTTTCGGACGGGACTTCGCCTCAGAAATCGGTTGTCACCGACATCAACCGTTGGTGGCGCTGGTGCCATGACGTCGACCAATAATTACTGGGTGGACATGGCTTGCTTGATTCCGTACTCACAGAAATTGCTTTCCTTGGCTGTACACGACGAATCAAAAAGACTAGCAGTGGAATTCCGGAGACAGTATCAGCAAGGAAAACACAAAGACCAAAGCAAAACRGCRCAAACATCGATRACTTCGTCATCCTCCTCGTCACCGCAAGAGGCAGCAATGACGACAAYGGCGATGATGACGGACCCAAGCGCAATCAACCGTCTCTCAGACATGAGGATAAAGGTATTGGACGATTTCTTGAGGCCATCACTAATTCCGAATAATGTTTGGTCCGATGTCGAGCAAAATTGGCGGTACAATCTGCGCATCGTCGCTTGGGCACGGAAGGAATTCTTGATTAGCAAATACGGYCCGTACATCCAAGAGGCACTGGTGGCCTATCCTCAGTTGCGAAACTCGCCTCAATTATCAATGTCATCTGCCGGTGRTGGGAATAARCGACAGCTCTTGTTGGATTTGGTTCATCGTGGAGAAATTAACACCGACAACATCGGTGGAGCGAGTGCTTCCAAGAATTCTAACATGACATCGCCGTTCTTGCAATTGCCGCCTAGTGATATTATAGCAAATGCATTTCGTATGAAACGATGGGCCAACGATAAAGATATGGACAGGTATGTGCAACTTTCTYGTGAAATCGGTAGACAAGCTTCCATTCAATTTCTGCTCACACTGTCCCCCTAAATTCTACAAATGTCTCGTTTCTTCTTTGATCTGTTTTCTAATTGGTATTATTATTTAGAATAAGCAATAGCTTACTTCCTGTTGCTGAAACTCTAGGGGGTACTGTATTTMAGCAGCAGTTGTCATCCCCAAAAGAAGGGACCGCCACAATGACAAAACATGTAGACGTTCCTCTCGACACCGACGTCAGTTCCGCAAGTCTGGAGGATGTTCTTGAAGTGGCGACAAAAGGATACTTGAAAAATTGCGGACCTCTGAATGCACTCTGCCAGGAGGCAAATTTTTATCAATTGTATAGTCGGGAATATGTTCAATATTTGGGCGATTATCTTTTAAAACGAACTGCAGTAAAGCGGTTARCATATGATACACAACGACGAAAACGACAACCACAAAATACTAATGATATCAAAAATTATTATTTAGAAGAGGGACCTCTMGTGTCGCCTGAAACTGTGGTGCTTGATATTGGAGCAGGTGATGGAGTTCTCATGCACTGTCTGCGGGATTACATGCAGCGTAAAATTATGGGTTTGTCACTGTCGGACAACAAAAGAGGTAACCAGAGGAAACACGATCGAAAAAAAAATGTTCAAGTTCATAACCATCAACCGATGGTTGTTCCAACAATGGTAGCGACCGATGACATGAGTTGGAGGATTTTTGCCAAGGCTGAAGTCGAAAAACTATCCGTCGAGCAAGCGCTAGAAAAGTACGCGGCCAACATGACAACAGCAAATGGTGATGTGTCTCCATCCGATCAAGAAAACAATCAAGATCAGTCGCGTCCCCAGGTGATCGTTATCTGTAGTTGGATGCCCATGGGTCAGGATTGGACAGCTCTGTTTCGAAAGGCTGAAGTGGATGAGTATATTCTGATTGGGGAGGCAGACAATGGATCCTGTGGAGATAATTGGTTAACATGGGGGAATCCTGAGTTTTACGGTTCCGACGCCATAGAGAACTGCGGCAGCAACAACAACGATSGCGACATTAAATCCTCTCYAACSCCCCCGTACGCGGCAGAAGGCTATCAACGCATGGACATGGACGCCGCCACAAAATATCAGTTTTCAAGCTTTGATCTTTCCAATTCGAAGAGCAGCAAGACCGTGAGTTTTAGAAGAATTWTGGGAAGAAAAGCTTAACAAAGATGTATGCACAAAAATTAGAGCCATCGGTTCCATTCCTTACGGTTATAGTAGATATAGAAAGACCAATGCCTTCTTGCCAGTTCTATCTTTCTAGTTGTTCCATTTTTGTGATTTATTGCATACAAACGTAAAAAAGAAAGGATGGTTCAAAGACTCATTTCAGTGCTGTTCATTTAGTCATGCTTCCATAGATCTCTATTTCAAATGTGGAATTCGTTCTSCGAACCACAAGGTGCTCTTACTCTTCGTACCATACGGACCATACGTACTCGTACTCCTCTACTGTACCGTACGGTACTTCGTACTTCCTACCAAACACAGTTACACGTAGTTGTAGTCAGTTGAGTCGACAACCTTATGCAAGGTTATGAGCTTATTTTCATAACGTTGCGCAACAGTCAACCAACCAACCTCACGCTCATCAAAAACCTCTCTTGCTTTTTCGTGCTTCCTTGCAGCCCACTAGAACAAACAGTACGACTACGTAGAGCACTCGTACCCAAAGTTTCGGTAAGCGTATCCCACTCTCTCTGTCTTCACGTGAGCACGAGTACGAGGAAGAGAATCCGTCGCTCCAAAGAAATGTAATSGAAGTAAAGTAAAATAAAGAAACAGAAGTAGAAGTATTACTTAATAGAAAATAGCCACACTGACGAGGTTATCACAAAGTTGGGAATTATCACCGGTTGAAATAAATTGAAATAAAGAATAGAAGATGCAGAACGATGAAATGATATGGCAGGTGATCAATCACCAATTTTGTTCCTACAAGAGGACAATAGGGAAAGCGAAGTCCGACAAGACCACATTCTGTCAGCATCCGTATTCGGTCACAGGGCTTTGCAATCGAACAAGCTGTCCTTTGGCAAATTCCTTATACGCAACATTGCGAGAAGAAAACGGCAAGGTCTTTCTATGTATGAAAACCGTCGAACGTGCTCATTCTCCAAAAAATTTATGGGAAAAGGTTTTGCTGAGTAGAAATTATGCCAAGGCCCTCGCACAAATTGACGAGCATTTGCAATATTTCCCAAAAGCTCTTCTTCATCGGAACAAACAACGATTAACAAAGATCCATCAATATCTATTGCGAATGAGAAAACTGAAACTGAAAGAGCTGTCGGGTCATAAAGCTAAAATCGTACAGGCTCCCACTCGTAAAATCAAGCAACGGGAAGAACGACGAGAACAAAAGGCATTGGTGGCTGCGAAGATTACGAACAAAATTGAACAGGAATTGGTGGATCGCCTCGCCAATGGTACCTACGGAGATATCTACAACTTTGAACAAACATCCTTTAACAAAGCGCTCGGACAAGTCGAAAGTGACGAGGAAGAGATGGAAACTGAGGATGAGTCTGAGGAGGAAGAAAGCATCGTTGAATACGTCGAGGACTTGGATTCTGATGAAGAGGAGAGCATGGAAGAAGATATGGAGGATTTCGAGTATCTTGGTGATGGGCAATGGGGCAGAGCCGAAAGCGACAGTGATGAAAGTGATGACTACGACGACGACGACGACGATGATGCGGAAAGTGAAGACGGCGATAGCAAAAGCGAAAAGAAGGAGRACCGAAAACCAAAGAAAAAGAAGAAATCTTCGAAGAAGGGATCCAGAGTTGAAATTGAATACGAAGAAGAGAACGACATGGAAGAAGAACCAATGCAAGAAGCTGGAATGGCTTGGTAAATTCACAGCCGACAACTTCTGTACAATAAAGAAAAATTGTAGAATATCTTCGAGCACCAAGGTATCAAATATCTCTCTAATATTATCATGTATTGCTGCAACTTCTAGTTGTGATAAAGCGCATGATCATGAACAAAGTCCTTCAGATTCCTCTGTGACGGGGACTATGATATTACTTATGTTTGAAGTTAGTGCTTGAAACTATTGTTTGATGATCGTATGGGAAGCAACGATGAAGACAGATGATATTGCAAATAGTTGATAAGTATAAATATCAAGAATCGATTTTGGAACTGCTACAACAACAAAGAAATGTTGTGTAAAGAAGCAAGAGTAATATGCTGGTTTATCGGTAGGTACGAGTACGTACTCCTTCAAAAATCGTAATTGCCCGTTTGAGAAAGATTGTGCTTTGAGAGCTTAAAGGTACGATCGTATCCTACTATAGTACGTACTCATAGTAACTTGCCACTATGCTATGACCAATGACCACTGGTAGTCGAATTGAAACAGAAATTGAAACAGAAAAAGCAGACACCGAGTCTTGAGTTCCTCTCAGCATTTTTATTCCCGTACAGCACATCCGGTACGTCGTACGTACTGTACTGAAATTGCCATCTTCACTTTCAACAAGACGACATCAACTGTGCAACATACAATACGATTTGCACGATAATAGTAGAAGTCTAGAACTAAACTCAATAGTTCTTCGACAATTTGGATTGATCGCATCACTGTTGAAAAATTTCACGAGGAAAAATCAGAAAAAAAACGATGAGTGCCGCGACCCTAGAAGAACGAGTCGTTGCCCTCGAACGGACGCACTACAAGTGTCCGAAAGACATTTCGGTCGACGACTCGATGCGACGTGCCCGAGGAGAAGTTGAATCGCTTGGTCTTTACAGCTCCCGYTGGGCATGGGTSCCTGAGCCGTACTATTCGTGGCCGCTCGAAAAACGAGCTTCAATGCTGAAGGCTCCCACTACTGCACACTTGTGCAAGTCGCTCTTGCTGGAAAACAAAAAAGTGACGGACGAAACATTTGATTTTGTAACAAATCCACGCTTCGTAATGGTGATCCTRCAGTACGAGGCAGAACTAGCAACCGATTTAYTGACGAAATCGATTCGAAAATTGAGGCCGGTAGAAGATCGATTGGATCCTTCTAGTTTTGATTGGAGAGTGGCCGAACCAGAGGACAACGATCGCATCACTGGATACCAATTCAATTCTGTCACCCCRTTGGTAAGTAARGGAATTCCGACGTGTGTGAAATCTACTCTCAGAGCGGAAGAACAATTACCTTTTGGTATGTATAGAAAAGCCAGTAAATTCTCTCAACTCCGATGCCTTTCCTATGCCATACTATTCTTTTTTCAGGGTTTGAAGGAAGAGGTGCCWATTATACTGAGTAGTGCTGTTTCGGATTTGGGTTACTTTTGGATGGGAGGGGGACAGTGAGTCATAAGTATTTCGTTTCCAATTGAGTTGCGACTGAGATCACGACCTTTTGCYTGATTGATTTTRAAGAGATACTAATTTAACTGCCATTTTTTGTTTGACATCTGTCGTGGTGCCGAAAACGAAACAACTGCACAACAAAAATCTCAATGCAGCGTTCATCTGAAGTTAGGCCTATCKGCTTCAGAATTTGTCAACAAAGTAAAGAATGTGAAGGTGATGGAAGCCAGTGTTCCGCGCATGAAATAAAGGTTTCCAATCTACATCCCAACGGATGCACAAACATGGCAGCAGAAGATTGAAAAACTTGTCATTCCAAACCATAATAAAACTTGAATCTTCCTTCCTACCAATCGCAGTAATACGAATGTCACTTTCCGGCGGGTGCAAGAACATTTTGAGAGAGACCGACTAAAATACGTTATTGTAACATGTTGTAGGACTTCATCAAAAGTAGTTCATAWCCGATACAAATTTTACGAAAACTTGCTCCACACATTTTGAATTGAGATAGTGCTTTTGTCTAATATATTGCTTAACTTATTGTTGGGTGCTCCGTTACAAAAACTCTCTCCGATTTGATTTGCAATCGATCAACCATCGATAAAGAAATYTTCTCCCTTTTTCAAAGACTTATGCCTTTTCAAGGAAAGCCTCGAATGAGGGTGATCCCAGCCATTCACCGAATTCCGGGGATTCGATCGAAGGGACGCCTCCATCGGAAGAAGACGAAGCGGGTGCGGCKGCGATCTTTTCCTCCGGTGCCTTTTTGCTTACGGCACTCTTCATCTTGAAAAGGAGGATCAAACTGGTGTATCCACCCATGATAGCCATGGCGACTGCGGGACAAAGTATCGATTCAATATGATWTGGAAAGAAAGGAATATTAGCAATCGAGTTGCACCATGGCATCGAATYCCTRCTCGGGATCTTTGTATTGGCAACAACGGATCCGCGCATTTGAAATGCAGTTTCATGCGCGAAATACGCRTAGTAACGCAKGGCGCCGTTCCATTCGACTAACTTACGCTGGTGATCTCCCGGGAAGACTCCTCGAACGACCTTGTCGATTCCTTCCCACTCTGGAGCAGGGCCTCCTCCCATCGATCGCTTTTGACCCTGAGCGGCGTGTCTGGTTGCCATGACGGCAATGCGGCGTCGTGCCGTTGCGGCTGCTACCGTAAAGACCATCGTGAACGTTGAATTGGTGTTGTGCAGTTGTGCCGCTCGATTCCTTCCCAAACCKGTACAAATTCGCACGCTTGGTGCGATGCGTGTTTAGCGAAGCACGACGTCCAAACTGCCGATACTCGTGAAGTGTAAAAGCGCGCGTGTAGCGCGCAGTTGTTCTTGGTTTTTGTAATTTCACAGTCCTTTAGATCGAACGCGTGCAACTTGAACTGCTGTAGGGATTAGGTTAAAGTGACGACTGGATCGATTAAAAATGACCACTGTCATTTTTTGGAAAATGCTCARTGCAAACTCCTACCATGATCATATGAATATGAACATACCGTACGGTACGTACTGTACGTTTCCGAATCTGTCCTCCTCAACCCTTAACGGATCAAAATGTCCGGTACGTACTATTGGTCATTACTGTACGGTACTACGGCGCTTTTTCGAATCACTCCACAACAACCCCCCCCACTCTCATTTCGACGGCACGTCCCATTGGCGTTGAACAAGAACGCCTGAGCCTTTCGAGAATTCTATCATCATCAGCCCATTGTTTAATGCTACGGAGTACTACCTCGATAATTCCATTCATTTGTAATACAGACCACCAGTATTCATACAACAAAGCGGGATAGTAGACAATCGTCCACYGGAACACCAGCCAATATGACAAAACGGGATCCCTTCCCAATGACCTCCATGGAGGCAAAGGCGTTGGAGGCATCTGTTAGTACCAACCCAGGCAGCAATGGAACTCCAGATGGGGGTGATGCATCTGGTGAAAACACCTCTACGTCGTGGTCCTCGATGCCGTTAGAGAGTGGCAGTAGCGGTGCTCCTTCTGCCACAGATATCCGTGGAGACGAAACAGACGACAAGAGCGAACTCGTGGCAAGRAAGAAGTCCATTCGCAAGGACGAAGAAGAAGATATTTACACCCACGTTGACAAGGAAGTGGTAGACGAAGACGACGAAGAATATTTAGCCGATCCCGTTCTGGACACCCCGCTCGAAGAACTGAGGGGGGATTGGCGGAAACGTTACACGGGACAAACCAAGAGAGCCTTTTTCAGGTTTTACCGACGATTGTACGGAGACAAGTTGCCTCTGTCCGAGATGATGCGGACAYTGTGTTTGGCCATGACTTTATATTTCATGATCGGTGGCTATTGGATGCTTCGAAGTTTGAARGACAGCGTGCTCATGGCTCTTTGTGGTTACCAAGCCATTCCGAAGGCGAAGATGYTGTCTGTCTTCGTGGTTCTCGGCGTGGTTAGCGTATACAATCACCTGCTGGATTCAGATCTCGCRAAACACCAACTTTTTTACATCTTTGGAACCTTCTACTTTTTCCTCTTCACGGCCATTGCTATGATGCTCATGAACCCAACAATCGGCCTCGCTAACAAGTACCAGGATGAGGGCAGGATTTTGGGATGGGTCAGTTATTGTGCCATTGAATCATTTGGATCTGTGATGGTCAGTCTGTTTTGGTCCTTTGCGAACTCGAACATTAGTTTAGAAACCGCAAAATCGAGCTATGGAGTCATGGTTGCGTTTGCGCAACTGGGGTCAATTATGGGCCCGGCCATTGTGACTCGCTTCGCWGAAGAATGGGGAATCGCACAGTGTTACCTGTTGGGTGCTATGAATATGTTGCTCCTTCAAGGAACCATGTACTTTTACATTCGAACCTATGGKTCGAACGAAACGCGGTCGAAAGATGGCGAAGTCGATGAATCGGGCAAATCCAAAAAGAAAAAGGAACGAGCGGGCATTCTGGAGGGACTCAAGCTATTCTGGGAATTCAATTACGTGAAAGGAATCTTTGCTATTAGCTGTTTATTCATGGTGGAAGTGACCATTGTTGACTTCACGCTCAAGGTTCTTGCGAAGGAATATTTCTCGGAAGAGTATCCATGCGAAATATCTAACCCCGATTGCTACAATGCCGAAACCAAGGTATTCGGACTGACCGAGGAAGCCTCCAATGCCATTGCGTCGTTCATGGGACTCTTTGGAGTCGCTACCAATAGCCTTTCCTTCATTTTTAGCTTGTTGGGAACCAGCGCAGTCATTCGAAAGTTTGGTCTTCGCCTGACGCTTTTGCTCTTCCCTACGCTCTGCCTTGTTGTTATCATCGTTGTCCGACTGAGACCGACTCTGTACGTTGTGTTCTTGGCCATGATCATGCTCAAGGCGAATTCCTATGCGCTGAACAACCCCACAAAAGAAATGCTATACCAACCCACCTCCAGCGCGGTACGCTACAAGGCCAAATCATGGATCGATATCTTTGGGGCCCGCGGTTCAAAGGCTCTCGGTAGTGTGGTAACCAATGCATTTTCGGATTCCGCGACAACCCTCGTGGCCAATGGGTCAATAGTCGGTATGGCCGTCTCTTGTTTCTTGATATGGAACGCCCGTTTCATGGGGAAACTCTTTGAGGAATACACAGAGTCTGGGTACGTGGTTGGAGAAGAAGACAACCCGGAATCCAAGAACATCCAAATGGCGATCGCACAAAACGAGCGCGAAGACACAAGCTGTGCCATTGAGGGCGAAGGTGAGGGCGAAGAGAATGATTCTGCAGAAAAGCCAATAAGAAAGGCTGAGGTCGCCATGGTCTAGCCAGAGCATTAGAAATTTGAAAATAGTATCTTCGGGGACATTTTGTACACGACTATCGATTTAATTTCATAGAGATAAATTGATTGAATATTATGCTCGTGCCTGTGACTTAAACTAATTCTATTACTATCCCAAACATTTTTTGGCTCAAAAATCAAGTGTCCAGTTGAATCGCAGATACGCATTCAACCWTGCCCTCTTTCCAGAGCTCTTTTCTTTCCATAATTTGCGATTTCTTTTTCCTTCTTTTGATGGATTTGCCATGTTTGACCGAGTAATTTTGCACTCCGTGACCTTTTCTGATGAGTAGAGCCAACGTGAGTCACATGCTTTTGTTTCCTGTTCCAGTAGATACACACTATCGTGAATTTGTGTGGCCCGTCCACCCTGTTCCCACTTGTGCCAAAAGTGAGGAGACGTGCCATATCCATAGTTCCCAGAAAAATCTTCATCCATTCCACCACTATTCCAAAATTCCGGTATTTCTACAAGTGCACAAGTCTGCTGGTGCTTTCTCTCTCCGTTTGGTTTCATTCGATTGAACTTGTGTGCGAAAGGTTGGTTTCTTTTCGTCTCATTGTTAGCTCTTGTCGTTTCCCACGTGAATACATCCCGGATGGTCTCCATTGGAACTAGCATTCGTATATCAAGAATCAAGCCCAATTTCGTTTTGGCCAAATAAAATGCTAGATTGTGAGATCCTTCTTCATTCCAGTCAATATTGTGATTGACTCGAACAACAMTCAGTAAATAATGATAAGGAATGGCTGGCCCGGTTTGATTTGTATTTAGAAATTGAGACSTGATGCTGCCGCCGGTTGAGATGTTGAGATGATCCATAGCGCGAAGACCCGATGGAGACCCATTGTCAACAACTATAATATTGAGCTTTGTTTGTATATTTTTTGGATAYGTCGCAAAGTTTCTTAACTGTTGAAGAAGCAGAGCTGGTTGAGCGGAGTATGGAATACTTATCGTCAGGCCCGGATTTGTCCTCTCAGTGGGCGCCATGGCTCGACGAAATTGATCGGGGCAGACCGGCGTKAGAGGGGATTCATGGGTGATTTCCGCTGGTTTAAGTGAGCTATTTGATGCGGTACTATTGGAATCTAACCAACAAGAGTTGGCTAAGGACACCATGTGAGACAATGATTCGTAATAATTTGCTGCGGATATAACCGATTCCGATTTGTATTTGTGGCTTCCTTTTGCAGTTCTTTGGTCTTCTTGGTCGAACAATATATCTTTACCGTTTCCTGTCAATTGTAGCGGCGTGATTCCGAAATGATGGAGTGTGTAACACCATAAGGGTTGATCTGAGGGAAGAGCAGAAAATTATTTGAAGAGATGGCCAGGAAAGAATGAATGAGTGATCAAAGAAAGAGAGTGGCACATTAAATCGGTGCTTTCCTTCTGGACACTACCTTACCTCTCCAACTATCTTGTTCCTTCGAATAATGATTCCAAAAAAAATCAGCGGATTTTTGAAAGGCAATCGAATCGATCGCGTATCCAAACATACTGTTCTCGTACAGTGTGCAATTCTTATTATAATCTGGCTGTTCGCGAAGCCATTGTAAACTCGCAGCAACGTTCCTCTTGATATCCTTCTTTTTCAATCGGATTCGATCAAACTCTGCTTCTGCACCGCCCCCTACSGGATGGAGCCTTTGTGCAAACTTTACATTCGATTCCATGATCTTTTTCGCTTCGGTTTGAAACAATTCATCATCATTTTTTGGCGACAAAATCCCGTCGATGTAAAAGACRACTTGGCAGGTTTCTTTGATTGTGGCATCGCGAAACGCCATAAATTTGGCCCATCGAGATTGTGTAATCCACCGATYGTACTCTCGAAGATCTTTCACCACGACCTTCCAGCCTGGTGCCTTCAAATCTGCAAGGTTAGAAAACGCGAAGAAATGAAACAATGGCGATTCATGTAATACAGGGGTTGTTTGTCGGACATCGTATAAKTGGTCCGTTTTGTCTTTCGTGGAGGAAAATTGGGAAGATACGAAACARACCGATATTCCCCTGTGATTTTGAGGATGATCGTTGTTTTTTGTGTCCCGATCATCAACCTTATTTCGATGCAGGGTGTAATTTCTGTTTTCGGTATCTCGACGTTCTACTTTTGGCAGCGGAAGAACAAATTGTGCTTGGCGAACAAGTTGGTCTGTCTCGTTTTTCGGCAGGCTATGTTTCGAAGAAGTCGATTTAGTAAAAGGTTTCACATTTCGATGATCAAGGAAGATCAGGTCACGAGGCGTTGGYATGATTGYTGACTTCACAATGAGCAAAATGGCAAAGTAGCTTGCAACCAATAATGAAACAATCAACGCCTTTCCCCGAACTCGATGTCCTGAAGTCTTTCGGTACCCACTTGTTGGTCTGTTGGATGGTGACGGATCGATCATRATGAATCTTCTTTCTAGGGCTTCACAGTAAATTCAGGACCTTTGTGGCCGCTTTGTCAACTGCTACCGGCATGAAATGCGTCTGCCAATCAATCTGCCTGGAAAAGTCTTAYTGTATCYCCACTTCTCTATTTTAATTTTAACAACATAAACKTTTTGGTTCGGTACCGGTATGATTATTTGTGATGATCGAAATTTACTGAAAACGGTCACTTAAATTCGAAAATCAGACGACGCGCGCATGCAGGGCTTTTTCTACAAGAAAGGTCTTCACTATTTGAAGACACTGGTTCTCGAAAGCTCCCAGGTACGAGTACCGTACCGTACGTACGAGGTTGTGGTGTTATTATATCGCACCGTGTTCCACAAGTCATCGAACATTCTGGAGTTGTGTCTTTCTGTGATAGATCGATAGAACAGAATTTTCGGATTGTCTTCTTTCGATGGCAGATCGACAGAAATGAACCGTCTTTGATATCCTAGACTACACACTAGACTAGACTAGACTAGACCATCAAAACTTGAACGAGCTAGTATATCAATCACACATGAGCTTGAGACATCCTCCCAAAGTTCCAGGCGCCGGCGTCGTCCCAGCCACCGATGTCGAGAGTAGCGGTAGCGATAACGACGATCCTTCCAAAAAGAAGAAACCAAGCACCCTGGCGCTGGTGATGRCCGATTCGATCTGGATCATCCGGACGGCGCACGGTCGATTTTGGCGTACACTGGGATACGCCGTCGTGGGTGGCACGAGGATATTTCGGAGAACTGTCGCGATGATTATGAATACCGTCGGGTTTGTGTATAGCGCCGGGGTCGAGCTTCTGTTGACATCCCGCAACGAGTACAAAAACCAGTGGTTGCCACTAGTGGAGGAACTGAATCTGTTTCTGCAGACATCGGGGATCGCGGTCGAATTGGAAAGAGGATTGGCAAACTACCGGTTCTTGAGCAACGTYGCTGTTTTGGCKAGAATACAGGATGTATTGCTGGAAAAATGTTGGGCAACCAGGGAGTCACCCCATCTCGATCAGCGGCAATTGGCATCGATCGATGCAGCARCAACAACACAGGCACGTGYTACGGAGTTGAAAACATCGATCGTAGAAGATGGRCGGCGCTTTGTGAAGTACGCAACCGCTGCGTACGGGATCAGCATGATCGATGCCGCGGAGATGGAAGTACACGGTTCTATCAAAACGTCCAAAAGGAGATCCAGCACGACTGCTATCGAAGCCGGCACCAAGCTGCTATCGTCTTTGAAGTCGTCSAAGACTGTTTCACAGCAAATRAAGGAACTACAAAATTCCATTAGTTTATACGACGAGGACTGGCTGCTCGGGAGAATCAGCGAACACATCGAGATTCCGGAAGATGACATTTATCCAATGAATCTATCAGACAACCGGGTGGAAAGCCTACGGTTTTTCGTCGCCGTCGATCACGCCAACAAGGAGGTCGTCTTGAGCATTCGTGGTTCCTTAACGGTGAAAGAAATYCTGATCGACATTGCCGGATTTTCCCGTCCGTTTTGCGGCGGAGAGGCCCACTCGGAAATGGCCAACACCGCGGAGAAGATCTGGGAGGAGGCGAGCGACCTGGTTCTGGAGCTCCTCCGCCAGAATCCTGGTTACGGACTCGTTGTGACGGGTCATTCCCTCGGTGGGGGCGCTGCCTGTCTCCTGAACATCCTGCTCCACGAGAACAATCGGGAACGGGCCGGGGGCCGGGCCGTCCGGTGCTACGCGTACGCATCGCCCCCCGTATACGCCGGCAACCTGAGCGAGGACGCCAAGCGGGCCTGCACGAACTACCTCCACGGCGCCGACGTGGTTCCCTTTCTCTCCGTGGACTCGGTGCGCCGGATCTTTGCCGCCCTCCACGCCGTGGAGGAATCGAAGGTGACCGGGTGGAAGCGCGTCCTCGTCCTCTGGGGGCAGACGGAGGTCCTCGACGCCCCCACGCTGCAGCGCGTCGGGAGCGCCCTCCACGATTCCCCGCCGGCGACCGAGGGGGCCCCCGAGCTCCTGGTCCCGGCGCACGCGAACGTGTGGATGCGGTCCACGGCGCCCGAGCTCCCGAAGGACCTCGACGCGATGAAGGAACTAARGCAGCTGCACTCGCTGCTCCCCTTCGACTTTGTCCTCGCCGACTCGGAAAAGCTCGCGAGGATGGGCATCACGTTCCATCCCTCGATGGTCACCGACCATTTCCCGAATGCCTACGAGTGTGCCCTGCAAAGCCTGAAAGAATCCCCGTCCGCAGAATAGGTCCCTGCGGCACGGTTGTAAAGTATCAAAAGTACTAATAAATACTACAATTTTGCATCGTTTTGTGAGCTATCGGTGTCTGTATCCTCTAGTGGCGGGTCCTTTCGGAATCGCTTCCGGTCGATGCGGCTACGAGCTTGAAACCTTTGGTTCCTAGCTGGAGGACGGAAAAACAGCTCCGTGGCAACCGTGGCTACGACTCCTGTTGCTTCTGTACCGGACGCCCCGGCCAAGAGTCCATTCGGTCCCAGTACCCGATCTCTCTTCCGCCGTAGTAAGAATCCAGCATCGTGTCGATCACCCGCTGCGCCCGGACCGCGTTCTCTCCAAAGGACAGCAGGCCCTGCCGCTCGGGGTCGCTGCGGCTCCTGTTTGGCCCGCCGTTCTTTCGGTCGATCAGGTCGTTGGTCACCGCCTGGATGAGCCCCTGCCCGGTGTGCTCCGGCACGGCAAAGGACAGGRTTTCCAGAACGGTGGCGCCGTCCSYKTCCAGCACCTCGATCGGTCCGGAAGGGCTCATCCCTTGCATTTTCAGGCTCCTGCCGTTCGACCCGAAAAAGCGCAGCTCGTCCACGGCCCGGGCCGGATCGTCGATCGCAAAGTCCCAGGACAGGTCGACGCTGGCGCCGGCGCAGCCGCCGTTCGGCATCGAGGCCCACTCCGAGGCCCCGATGGTGGCGGTGGCGGAGCAGCGGTTTTCCACGGCGGCGAACGCCACGCCTTCGCCCCAGCGGTCCCCGGGCGMRGGCGCGTGCTCCGCCGATCCCTCCACGCCCACCAGGGGCCCGCAGAGGGCATCGATCCGGTCGATCAAATGGCACCCCACGTCCGTGATCAGCCCGCCCCCCGACTGCGCCGCGTCCAGCCTCCAGGGCAGGCTTCCGCCGGCGTCCAGGTCCCTGGCGCCGCCGGTTCCCTTCAGGACGTAGGACACCCGCTCGAGCCTGTCCCCGAGGACGCCGTCCCCCAGGAGCCTCCGGACGGCCAGGGTCCGCTCGTAGGCCCGGCTGATGTAGGCCGTGTACAGGGGCAGGCCTTTGCTCCGGAAGAGCTCGGTGAGCTCCGAGGCCTCGGARGCGCACCGGCCGACGGGCTTCTCGACGTAGCAGGCCAGGCCGGCCCCGGCCACCCTCCTGGCGACGGAAGCGTGCGTTCCGGGCCTCGTGCAGACGTAGACGGCCTCCAGGCCGGGGTGCTCGAGGAACCGATCGAGGTCCTCGTACCCCACGCAGGGCACCCCGGAGGGTCCGACGGGGACCCCTTTTGCAAACTCCGCGGCCTTGCCGGGGGTCCGCCGGACGACGGCCACCAGCTCGCTGCCCTYGCACTTCCAAAAGGGCGGGCCCGACTTGACCYGGGYGACGTCGCCCAGGCCGACGATTCCCCAGCGGACCACCGCTTGCGGCGGGTCTTCTCCCGCCCGGGCTTCCGCGGGGGGAGGCATCACCAGGAGGCCCGCGCCCGCACCGAGGAGGTCCCGGCGGTTCCAGCCGCCGCCGCGAGGGAGGGAGAGGGAGACCGAGAGSGGGAGAAAGCCCCCGGCGAGGAGGAAGGGGTGGGAGGCGAGGGTGGCCACGAGCACGGGAAGGAGGAATCGGAACGGAAGGCGAARCGGAAACGGAAACAGAAACCGAGGCGGCAGCAACGCCATGGTGGGTGGCGAATGGTRCTGTRCGGCCTTCTTGGTTCGGACGAACTATGGCAACCACCGGCAGCAATTGTTGCCCTTCGAAACCGTATGGTATGGCAGGTATGTTGTGGTCACGCAAGATCTTTCGTCCTGACTGCTTCTGTATCGCATGTACCCCGGTTGTATGGATCCTGTTCCTACCGGTATAATTTTGGAAAAGATTTGGGGAGGGGGTGAAACCAGGATAGTACGGTACGTACGTACGTGCCCCCTGCGTACGTGTTCTATTTGGAGAGTTCTGATTTTGGACTATCACGACTCATCACTCGACTAGTCCGATCCGACCAACCATATCGAAACCAACGCCTGTTTTAAGAAAGATTGGATTAGAATATCAACTCTTCCAATCCGTGGGTTGCTCTTAGAAAATGGCAGAGCACGACAGGTTGTTTGCCACCAGCGTCCTTGGGAAGTRCTCATACTCGCACTAGTACCGGTAGAAGCCTGCGTCGATTGGAATGGATCGGTGACGACTTTGGTGAGGCGCTGCGCTGCGTTACGTTACGTTACGGTACGGTACGGACGAAACCCGTGGGGCAGCCGGACATCCCGGAACGGGACGCGTGTGTGTTTCCTGTTCTGTTCGGCAACGACAAGAACGACAAGAACAAGAACCCTTCGGTTGGGGTCTGGCACCCTCGTGGAAGCGAGCGACCATGTCCCCAGATGCCCCGGGCGCCACCGTGGGCGTCGTCCGGCAGCTCTTCGGGGCGATCGTGGCCCTGTCGGTGGCCCAGATTGTCGTCGTGCTTCTCTATCTGCCGGACCCGGCGGGGGAGCCCCCACCGGGGACGGTTTCCGTGGCCTCGGTCGTGCGATCGCCCCAGCGCCCGGGACTGCGGGCGCCCTTTCCCAACGGGAACCCCAACGGGAACCCCAACGGGACCGAGAGACTCCCGGTTCGGACCACCCACGCCACCGTTGGCCAAAGCAAGTCGATTCGAAGCGACGGGCACAACGCCACCGTCGGAAACCACGGCAACCACAACCACAACAACAACAACAACAACAGGAACCAGATCCAGAACCACCACCGCGACGAGAACGACGCGTTCGGCGGCCCGTCGCTGGCGGACTTTGTGGCGGGCTTTCTCGGGGCTCGGAGCGGGGCCAGCGACGACGATCCGTGGATCTCCCAGCGCGAGAGGCTCGCCTGCAAGCTGGACACCTCGGAAGAGCTCCTCGACGACTGGAGGTCCCGCCACCAGCGGCTGGCCTGCAGCGCTTCCGCGCACCGGGGCGGAGACCGAGGCGGGCCGAGGATCGTCGACCGGTACGTCCTGGACCGGTGGGACACCCGCCCCACGATCCTCCGGTACTTTGGCGCCGAGGCCCGGTCCGCGAGCGGTCCGCCGGTCCCGGAGACGGAGGGAGGCGGCCCGGGAACCCTTCACTGCGTGCCCGTCGCCGGCGGGGAACCGGGCACCGCCGGAACCGATGCCGGTGTCGATTTCGATGCCGACGTCGATTTCGATGCCGATGCCACAACGGCCCGCTACGTCGACGTGAACGCCACGGTCGTCCGGATCGTCCCCTTCGATCCCTTCAACGCCTACGAACGCTTCCACGCCTACGTCAACGTGGCCCTGGTCATGCTYATSTTCGGGATCGAAAACCCCCAGCTGGTCCTGCTCCGCGGCAAGGGRGACCGCAGCGTCTTCGACGCCGGCGACCGGGACTTTTGGCGGCTGTTTTCGGGCCTCGAGCCGGTCTACGCATGGGAGCCCGGAAAGGACGCCSGCGACAACAACGACGGCCACACGGTCCACCGGTTCCGCGAGATCATCGAGGCCCCCGGGTCCAGCGTCTCGATGACCAACGCCAAGAGCACCTCCTTCGATGCCTACCAAAACAAAACGGTGGCCGGGGGCATCAAGGGCCGGGCGGTCGAACACCACTGCTCGAGTGACCTCTTTCGGGGGATCCTGGCGTGGATCCGGTCCCGGCTGGCGGGCCTGCCCGGGGCAGCGATCCGCGGCAGCGACAACGAAAGMAGCGACAGCGCCGTGGTGGCGATCGGAACCAGATCCAGAGCCGATTTTCGTTCCGACCGGCCGCTGCAAACACGGCGCATCCTCTTTTCCTCGAGGCGGCCCTACTGCTGCCGCGGGGGAGAGATCTACACGCCCGACCGGGTCATCGAGGACGAGACGGGGTTCCTGGAGGCCGTTTTGGACGCCCTGGTCGAAARCAAGGGCCATGGGGACAGAGACCGGGAGGAGGARGARGAAGAAGAGGGCTACGAGTACGAATACGAGTACGAGATCACCTCCGTCGACTTTGGGTCGCTGTCGACGGCCGAGTCCATCCGGAGGGTGGTGGAGTCCAACGTCGTCGTCGGGTTCCACGGCGCGGGCCTGGTCTGGTCCGTCTTTTTGTCGGCCGGCGAGGGGGCGGAGGAAAGCCCGGGCTCCGACCGTGCCAGAGACGSAGGCGGGGAAGCAYGGGTTCCTTCCGAGGCAAAGACGGTCGGGCTGGTGGAGATCTTTGGCGGGAACCGGGCCCCSACCAACAAGCACTACCACAACCTGGCGATGCTGGCGGGCGTCCCCTACCGWTCGACGCGCTTTTGGAACGGCCTGGACAAGACCATCTCGTGGAACCGGGGAAGGGTCCACGAGGTCGCCAAGCTGATCGAGAGCCTGTTCGACGACGAGTAGATGCGATGCGGATGCGATGCGATTGAAATACCACAAGACACCATAGAATAGAGAAGACATTTACGGAATGGATCGGAGCACGTGGCGCAGTCATCGTGTAGCTTGCAAGGAATAAAAAKAGAAAGACCAAGCTCGATTTCAAAAAAAACTCTCATATTCGTATACCGGGAACGGAACGGCAGAGCGTCCTTATGCCGGCCCGTGAAACGCCTCGGAATGCCGTGCCTAGCCATTGGCCCCGGGGACGCCACAAAGCACCGGGTCCTGAATTCTGTGGGTGGGTGTTGGTTTGTTATTTGTTGGTTGGTTGGTGGGTTGGTGGGTTTCGTTCAGATCCCTTCCATCTCCTCGCGCAGCCGCCGGATGCGCTTCGGGGCCTCCGGGTCGCTGCTCTTCTCCCACGCCGCGATCGCGCCGCGGAAGTGGGCCCGCGCGAGCTTCCACCCYKGGTTGTCCCTGCAGAGCCTCCGGGCTTCCTCGAGGTGGGCCTCCGCCTTGAAAGGGGCGATCCTCCGGCGGCAATGGGCCCAGGCGCGGAGAAGGTGCAGGTGCGAGAGAGGGTCCGGAAGGATCGCGCAAGGGTRCTCGCTCCGAAGCCTCCGCAGGAGGGACTCGGCCTTCTCGGCGTTCCCCCCCTCGGAGCTCTTGGACCACGCGCGCAGGACGCAGTTGAGCGTGGTGGCATCGGGCCGGACGCCGATGCCGTCCTCCCGCCGGAGCATCTTCCAAAAGAGCTCTTCCGCRCGAAAGGCCCCGTCGCCCCTCCAGTCGTTGCCAAAGGCCACCAAGACCTGCGAGTACATCTGCACCGTCGGCTCCGGGCCCTCCCCGTGCCGGTAGTCGGTTTCCACTTGCCCCACAAATTSCAGGGCGTGATCGGCGGCAAGGGGTGCCTTGCTTCTAGCGTAGGCCTTCAGGATGATCGTGCAGGACCTCGGATCCGGTCGAACGCGCCGCTTCCATTGGTCCAGGAACCGCCGTGCTTCGTCGATCCTCCCGTGCCCGCAAAAGGCCTCCAGCACACCGTTCAGGCTGACGGTGTTGGGAGCCGCTTCCCTCCGGCCGGACCTGGCCATCCGGTGCATCTCGCAAAAGACCTCTCGGGCCCGGTCCGGGGCATCCGCAGCATCGCTCCCGGCCCACGCGGAAATCAGCGCCGTGTAGACCACGACGCAGGGCCGCAGRTYGGAGCGGCTCCTTTCGCCCCCCGAGGAGAGCTCGCTCATCTTTTGAACCAGAAGCGTCGCTCGTTCCGCTCCCCCGGGCCCGGTGCGGCCCCAGGCCCGGACGGCCATGAGGTAACAGACCTTGGGGGGCGGAAAGGAGAGCTCGCCCTCGAGGTGCAGCGCCTCGAGTTCGTCCAGCAAGCCCTGAACTCTCGCGCCGGGGTTGGGGACGCGGGTGTAGGCTTCCATGGCAGCTCCGTAGGTCTCTGGGGTTGGTTCGTATCCGTGGAGTTTCATTTGGTCCAGCAAGTGTTGGGCTCGGCTCGCGGCTTCCAGTGGATCGAAGCTACTTCCCTCTCCAATCACCTTGCCGCTCTTGGCCCACGCATTGATTGCGGAATTGAACGAAACGGCATTGGGTCGCACCTCCCGCTGGCTCYYTCCGKTCTCGTTCTTATCGTAGCCACGGTGGTAGTTGTGCAGCTTCCACAGCACGGATTCGGCCCTTTCGGGATGCCCCTGCTTCCCCCAGGCATCGATGCAGATGTTGAAGCAGATCGTTTCTACCAGGTGCGGATAACTCCGAATCATTTGGTCCAGTATGGCCTCGGCTCTCTCTGCCGGCGACGTCTCGGGGCTTGTCTTTTCATGTTCCTCGCAATCCCGGGTTCCGGTGCCGGCGGGAACGGGAACGGAAACCGCGTTGGCCCAGGCGTGGAGCAGGGACACGAAGCACGCCGTTTCGGGGACGAGACCGTCCGTCCCGGTCATTTCCCGAAAGACCCGCTCGACCAGGCTGGGCGCCCMKGGGTGGTGTTTCGCGCACCTGGCCAGTCCGTGGAGGCAGGCGCTGTAGAGYCGGAGGTCCGCTGCCCCCGCCGCCGGGTCGTTCCGGCACCGCTCCAGCAGCTCCAGGAGGTTCTCGCAGGCCGAGGGGGACTCCGGGTGCAGGGAGAGGACGTTCATGCACATCGAGTAGGTCTTTTGGCTCGGGCGCAACCCGGTATCCCCCCGTGCCCTGCTCGCGTCGTGGAAGAGATCCATCAGCTCCATGGCTTCGAGCGGGGGACTCGGACCGGTTCCCTCGGGGGCACCGCCCTTGTGCCTCGCTGCCGTGCTCGCCTTTCTCCAGGAATCGAGGCACCGATTCAGAATCTCGACCATTTCTTTCGAATCGGTACTGCCGTGGTGGTACCCGGTCGGCCTTTTCGTTTCTCCACGAACGAACCCCCGGTCTCCGCTGCCCTTGCTGGCTGCTGCGGCGAGATACTCGCTCACCCATCGGCGAAGGATTGCCGTCTGCTGGATCGCGCGTTCCCGGGGGCTGCCAGAGCCGGACCATTCCCTCACGAGAAAGCCGCCCCTAAGGGCGTCCTTCCGAGACCACGARCCCACGGGGGTTTCCAGCCACTCCCTCGTTTTCTGCCTCAGTCCTTCGGCGGGATCGTTTCTGTTCGGGGGGGCCGGCCGTGTGGGGATCGCCGTCGCAATTTGCCTKTGGAAGGTGCCGATTCCTGCCAGAGGGGATGCCCCGATCGATTCCGGGAAGAACCTCGTTTGCGGTTTKCTGGAGCGGTGGGAACAAGCCRCAAGSAWGGGCGGCGGGCGAGTGGGTGGAGGGGCCGACCGGAAGCGGGGGAATGCTCGTGCTCGTGCTCGTGCTCTGCGGTCCACGGAGGGGAGTCTCCGGAGGAGGCGGTGGCCGGTGCTTCCCGCAGGCATCGGCGCGGTTTCCTCCCCCGACTCCGCGGATTCCCACCGGTCTGTGTCGTTCCGATGGATTTCCCGGTTTCTGGAAAAACTCTGGATCTACGGTCGCCGGTGGCGCATCACTCGCATCGCGCCACCCCGCTCGATCCTTTGGCTGATCTCGGCATCCAAACACGAATTGTCGTTGTTTGCTGTAACAAGGAAAGGTAGTGTAGAACCGAGCTAACCGAGCTTTCTGAATGGAATCAAGTGGCTTGTAGGTCTTCGGGGAGCTAAAGACGGGTCAATCGATTGGCATTCGACATCATTGTCGCATGTTCGTTGGCTCTTTTCTTTTGTCCGTCCACTGCTGTATCGTTGACATCCGTGAGGGGTCATCATCTCCAAAAACTCGAAGCGCTTTCGTTTGACTCTTGATTGATCCGAATCATTGCGGGGTCAGGATGGATTCGCGGCGGGAGTGATCATGACCTCAAACCCGGTTTTAAAATAAAACACTAACCCTATTTTGTTTCTACAAAGTGATGGCCACGCGGCGTCACACGTCACGGTTTTCTTTCCGGCAAGGACAGAAACGGTGACTCACTCACGCACTCACTCGCTCACTCGAAGCTCGTTCGAAATGATGAAAAAACAGCGCACAAAGCTACGAGTTGCGTTGTACGGTGCTCCTCGCAAACACGTCGGTTTGTACCATCGTACTTGTACGGTGCTGTGCTGTCTCGTACGGTTCCGATTCTTTCCCCGACCAACTCTACGTATAACGTATGGCACGGTAGCGCGTCTACGGTACTTACTTACGATGCCGCATGACGGTGTGAAAACACCTCGAAAGGATTCTTGCTCAGGGCTGATATGAACTCCGGGAAGGGGCGGTCGTCAATCGACACGGCACGAACAAGATGAGCTAGCTAGCCCTTGACAGCATCTCCCTCACGCCTCCGATCCACATCACAACTTTTGGAGAGGCAGTAAAACCATCATTATTGCATCAACTCTTGAAGCGAGAGCGTTCTTTGTCGAGAGCACAATTAATTTGCAGCAATCACAAACACAAAAGGAAACGCCATGAACTCGCACTGCACGAATAACAACAAACATAGCGGCAGCCGGACGCGGAAACGCCGCCGGGGCCACGGCCTGATAGGGCTTGTGTGCTTTTCGCTGTGCGTCAATGCCACGAAGGGATTCGAGAGCCAGCTTCCCACCACCACCCGGCAACCATTGGCACCGGTCGCCGGCCGATCGGCCTCCCATCTGCCCGCGATGCCATCTTCGCCCTTCTCGGAGACCCATGCTGCCGAGGGCCGCCAGACCAAGAGCAACCCACGGTCGCCGGCGGTGCTGACGCCCACGGAGGAAAAGGAACTCCTCCGGCAAGCCGTCGAATACAGGCGGATCAGCGAGCTGGAGAAAGAACTCGCCCTCCGGCACCACAACTTTCTCCCCATGCTGAGCGTCCGCGCCGAGTCCGCGGGATACGGAGAGGAACTCGACGCCTACGAGGACGCCAAGTACGAGGGGCAGCTCGCCAGGGAGAAACTGGTGACCCACAACATGCAGCTGGTGCGCTACTGCGTGGACCAGATCATCGGGAAGGAGACGGCCTTTGAATCGGGCAGCGGGAGCACCAAGGGCCTCCCCCTCAACTCGCTCTCCCGGGAGGACCTCGTCCAGGAGGGCGCCATCGGCCTCGCGCGGGCCGTCGACAAGTGGAACCCCGAGATCGGCGGCCGGTTTTCCACATACGCCGTCTACTGGGTCCGGGCGGCCGTGCTGCGGTGCATCGCCGAGCGGGACGACGTCGTCCGCGTCCCGGGCCACGTCTCCCAGGCCATTGTCAAGATCAACAAGGCCGCCAAGCGCCTGGGGTGGGTCCTCCAGGAGTCGGGGGGGATCCTGGTCACCGAGCACGGAAAGGGTTCCAAGAGCGTGGTCTCCGGTGCCGCTTGCGAGAGCCCCAGCTGGAGGGCGGCCCGCGCCGCGAAGTGCCTCGCGGAGGAGGCGGGCCTGTCCGAGCAGCACTTCGAGGAGGCCATGAGGGCCCGGCGGAGGCGGTACTCGGGCGGATACGTTCCGGTAGAACAGTGGATGGAATCCTCGGGCCGATCGGGCGCCGGGGGATACCACACGGACGAGAACGAGGACCAAGACCGGACCCGCATGGAATCGGAAGCCGCCAACGAGGACATTCGTACCGTCCTGTCGAGACACCTCCGGCCCAAGGAGATGGAGGCCCTCAGCTGGCGGTACGGACTCTTCGGGGACGAGCAGCCCGCGGAGCGGGCGAACCGCCAGCTTTTGGAGATGGAGGACCGTCTCTTTGGGCCCTCCGCGGTGGAAGCGGCCCCCGGGGCAAAGCCCGCCTCTGCGGCACCGGCCAAGGGCGGCCGCTGGGGCGAGGCCATGACCTTTGTGGAGGTGGGCAAGAAGATGCAGGTCTCGGCGGAGTACACCCGCAGGCTCTGCCACGGGGCCCTCGACAAGCTCCGCCGGGCGGCCGAGGAGGGAACCCTGGAACCCGCCTTCCTGTGCTGAACGCAACGCAACGCAACCACTCCCAAACGACCATAATACAATAGAGCTAAAGATGACTAAACCATAAAGAATCTAATTTGCAGTCACGATTGAATTTGCGGCAGAATCTTTTCTGTTGGACACAGAATCACACGATTCTGAATCCATCAATATTAGTGTATCTAGATTTTCCGAGATTGAGAAGAACGGCAATGAGCGGGCATGAAGAGCATAATTCGCTGATGAACTCCAGTTGAGGTAGCCTTTACGAGCGAAGGTGTCGCTCGTTGGTTGATAGCATTGCGCATGGAATAGAAAAACTGTAGAAAAGAGCAAACACTGAAAATGTTTCAATTTACGACTTGACGCTTCGCTACTTTCCAATGAACTACATGATTTCCCCTCTAGAATTGTGCCAAAATGGAAACCATATTGTTTCGAATTGCAAATCCAGGAGTCGATTCCGCCTGCCGATCGGAACAAAGAGGTACAACACGGCAATTCCACTCGGGATGCAGTTTTTTACGCCGAAGAAAACAACGGAGATACGCAATCGATAAAGACCTCTTGCGCCCGGAACTTGCGTGCGTACAGGGCGGTTGCGGCCGGCGTCGGCCTGGAGGTCAGGTAGGGGTTCAGGTCCTCCTCGTGCTCCGACACCGGGAGCGGTGTTTCCTCCGAGCCCGCGTCCCGCTGGAGCGAAAGCGCGACCAATCGGGCCAGGCCGCGGCTCGTTCCCTCGGCCGCGTCCTCGTCCAGGACGACGGAAAGACCGCTGGCATCGGAGACCATCTGCCGCCAGAGGTGGTTGGCCTCCATGGCCCTTCCGCTGGCCACGATGACGGGATCTCCTGCGATTCCCAAGGGCCCGGCGGGACCCTCGCGGACCAGCCGGAGCAAGAGGTCCAGGACCGCCTTGAGCCGGAGCGAGACGCCCTCCAGGGATGCCTTCAAAAAGTGTGCCGGGGTGGTTTCCCGCGTCAGGCCGAGGACCGCTCCCGTCGCGCCATCGCGATAGCCCGTGCTCCGCTCGCCGCCCAGAAAGGGCGCCACGAAAAGATCCCCTTGCTCCCGGTGCCTTCCGGCCGACCGGGCCTCGCGCTCGCACTCGGCCTCGACCAGGGCCCTGGCTTCCCCGAGACACTCCCGAAAGGCGCGCGGGTCCAGGTTCAGGAACCTTGACGCCCACTCCACGACGGACCCACCGTCGGTCAGCGCCCCCCCGATCAAGACGTGGTGCCGATCGACGCGGTAGCAAAACAGGCCGCGGCACTCGGGGATCGAAAAGAACGCCGGCCCCCCGCCGGCTTCCCTCCGCAGGCACACCCGGGCAGCGGCCGACGTTCCGATCGTCACCGCGAAACGGGAGGAACCCGTGCACTTGCTTCCGACATTGGCGCAGGCACCATCCCCGATTCCCAGAAAGAACCTCGCGTCCCGCAGATCCGGCCATTTCTCCCAGTAGGGATTCCCGGTGCCCTCGCTGCGTCCGCGAACGAGCCGGGGCAGCCCGCACAAACCGTCCGTAAAGTCGGCCAGCTGCGGCAGGGCCCGGCGGCATTCCGGGGGCAACAACCCCACCGCGGATTCGTCGTAGGTGCAATCGGACACGTTCAGCAAGCCGGTCCAGGAGGCTTCCGAGTACGACACCGGGAGGTGTGGGGTTCCGATCCATTGCGATAAGCAATMCCCCGCCACGCTTTGCCAGCTGTGGATCTTTCGTTTTCTCTCCGGACAGAGACTATTGTACAGAACGCGCAACTGGGGAAGGGCATAGGCCGAGTGAAGGGGAGCCCCGGTGCCTTCGTACAATTTGTCGACGGCTTCTTGCCCGAGGTCTCGCCGCAGCCGCCGGCATTCCTCGTTGACTCTTGTAGCATTGCACGCGTAGCTTATGCTTACGGTGGTCGATGGAGTCCCGTGGTGAACCGCCTCGGCGTCCTCGTTACTGTTTGAGTCACCCTTTTGGTCGTCGCCGTCGCCGAATGTGACGAGCTTCCCGTTCGCATCGACTGCTACCAGATTCATCACAAAGGTAGAAAACCCAACGGCTTCCACCCGGAAGCCCCTCTTCCGGCCCTCGAAGTGTTTCCCGAGTTTCGTCAAGACCTCGTCGACGGAGCCGTCGATGGCGTCCATCAAATCGATCGTTCGGACGGCACCCGAAAGAGGCTCCACTCCCGGTCTCTGGATCGAGGCGAAGCAACCGGGAATGGGAACCGTGGCGACCGTTTCGTGGCCCCTCCTGTGAGTTGTCGCGAGGCAGTCGTAGGCGGTGCATCGCACGCTGCTGCTGCCGACGTCGATCGCCAATACGACGCCAGCAGGTTTCGTGGTCGTGTCGCTGCTTTCGCTGTGTTCCTCGTCCGGCGTTCGGTCCGTGGCATCCATGGTCATTCTGTCGGCGGCGTGGTGTTTCTATTTCTCTTCTCTTCAATCAATGGCTGCAAAGAATGCGGAAGCAAGGTGGGGCGGTGTGTATGTTTTTGAGAGAGTCGTATTTTGGTTTCACCTCGTAATGAGATTCAGTATGGTATTTTTTATGATTGCGGTACGACGTATGATACCATGCGAAATCTTATTCGTCTCGTTCGCTACACGGTCGTACAAAATAACAAAATGAGAAAGTGTCAGGAAAATCTTGCAATCGTTCGGCCGAATTTGAAGGAGTGTTGGGAGCGACGGACAGACGACAGACAGCGAAACCAAGCAATCGAGGCAGCGTACGCCCCAACAAAGAAAAGCACAGAGCCTTG